GTTATGCTTTTAGCTGCACCCACGAGTTGTGTAAATGATCATTCTCCATTTTTTTTCCTTTCCCAGCAATATTTTTTCCTTTGTGTTATACTTCTGTGTAACTTCCTTCCTAACCAATGTTAGTTGTGCCACACCCTAATGTATATTTTCACAGTGTAGCTTTTGTTGTTTCCTTTGTGTCTCTTGGCCCTATTTTCAACCCCCACTACCATCCCAATATGGAGGCCAATGTTCTTTCTCACTCACCATTTTGTTCTGTTTTTGAGTTTTGATTAACTTTTTGATTCGATTTCCCCCCTTCTAGAGCATCAAAACATTTTTTTTCTAAAACCATGATAAACAAAACTGTCACGAATAGCTTTTATTCATGATATTTTGCTTACTATTGTGATGCTGTTATTGGTCACAAGTGATCATATGGAACCTGGCCAGTCACAGCACCCTGTACCATGTGATCACTTGTGACCAGTCACAGCATCACAAAGTAAACACTAAATTAGTAAAAACACTAAATCATGAATGAAAGCCATGCATGACAGTTTAAACCAGGGGTGGACTGACAACTCATGGGGCCCCCGGGCAATAGGGGATCATGGGGCCCCTGTGTCCTCACCCATACCCAAAAAATCCTATGAAAAAGCCAATGAAAGGTACCAGGGGCATCTCATGGGGCCCCCTACTGACCCCAGGCCCTTGGGCAGTGCCCGAGTGCTCGAATGTTCAGTCTGCCCCTTGTTGAAACTATTGCTTATAACAGTGATCACTGGTGACAGTATGTAAAAAGAATGTGAAAAAAAACCAAATTTAATTTAATTTATTCACTTTCCAGAAAATTGTATCAAACAATTACAGCTTCAAAAAAACTCGCCATGCTTCATACTAAATACCTTGGACTATTTCCTTTTCAAAAAAGGGGTCATTTGAGAAGTATTTATACTGTCCTGGTATTTTAGGGCATCAACAAATGAGATAGACTGTCAGTACATTAGGATTGATCTATTTATATTTCATAGTTTGTAGACTCTATAACCTCCACACAGACTAAATAATACACACTAATCTGTTATTTTTCACAAAACAATAGTGCAGCACTAGGATAAATTAAAATGTATGTGCAGTACAATAGTGCAGTGCAAATATATCAAACTCATATATGTCACCAGAAATTGAAAAAATAAAACAAAGGAATTCAAATGTTCAGCCAAAAACTGTGAATTCAGTTGAGTTCTTCAATTATGAGAAAAATGACAGATGTCGATACCAAAACGCCACCAAACTTCTTAATGATAAACCACACAACACCTTGGTGTACAACAAAGGGAGGCTTATCAGAATCACATGACCTCCAAAGTGATTAACCAGCACTTGTGTTTCAATCCAAGATATCCAGCTTTCCTCTAAACCAAATATCAAACGATGGTACTGCTACGTTATATCAGATTGCAGTGCATATACTCATTTGGACACAGTATCATGAAAAAGAAAAAAGACAGGCTCTCCATAGTGTAATCCTGATTAAAACACCAATTTAATGTGGTAAACATGCTCACAATGAAAAGATGACAACCAGGCACTTCTTATCAAGATGGCCGCTTATGCATAGTCGTGTGTGTGTTCCATCTCTGCCCTACTAGTTTCATCAAAGGTGACATCATCAAAAGCACGGGGCACACACTGCCACTCATCCCTTTTATACAGAACACAAGAAGGAATACATCCTACTTAGAGTAGATTACAAAGGGCAGAGATTGATAGTTAAACCTGCATACAAATTGTAGTGCCAAACACATTCAGTGCTGTCTCAAGAATGGTACCATAGCAACATAAAAAGTGGTGACAACTTCTACAATGCGCCATCTTGTGGTCAAAATCAAAATTGACTACAAAAAGTTAAAAATATGTGCAAAGAATTTAACAAAAATAAACAACATAATAATATCCTTCATTTGTTGTCATAAAAAATGACTTTAAAACAAGATATTTATTACAAAAAAATAAAATATCTTTTTGGACAGCTATTATTCCTTAAAAAGTCCCGGAACTATGTTAACCACATATTTCTGTATATATAAATATTACTACCAAATATAAGATCTACAAAATTTTTTAATAAAAATTATAGAAGCCTCTGAAATTTAACTGACAAAAAAAAGATAGACATTGAACCAGAGGTTAAGAAAGGGGGACATGTGTCATTTTTTATTTTATTCCCAATTATCGATATAGTTAAATCTAAAAAATGTATTTCCACAGAGCTAGCTTCATGGGTTAAGACAATGCCCCTTTAATTGTTATTCAAAAAATCCATGAATGAGTCAAGGGAGTCAGCACCACCATTCCATACGAGGAGGATGTTGTCTATGTATCTCCTTCAGAGCACCAACTTAGGTCTCTGGGCTGCAAAGATGACATACTCCTGCCATTTAGGCATGAAGAGATTTGCCATACTGGGCGCAAATTTATGCCCATGGCTACTCCTTTCTCTTCTAAATTATATGCATCAGCATACCAGAAATAATTATAACTCATTCCAAATTGGAATAGCTCAAGTATGTAATTTTTCTGTTAGAAAGTGTGACATCCTGCATTAAAAAAATATTCAACAGCTTCCAAACCCAAGTTGTGTGAAATAGAGGTATACAGTGAAGATATGTCTGCTGTGGCTAATAAATAGCCCTGTTTCCAATCCAAATAATTTAATAAGTTAAGGACATGTTTATTATCTTTTTAAAAAAAGTAGGTGTACTCATCACTAATGGTTGTAGGTATGGATTGATATACTTACCAATCCTGGAAGTTATCGAGTCAATACCGCAGATAATTGGCCTACCTGGCAGATTAATAGCATTCGTGTGGATTTTTCGGAGACTGTATATCACAGGTATTCTTAGGGCCAAAGGCACCAAAAAGCTATTTCTTTTTTTATTCAAAATGCTATCCTTATAACCTCTAACCAAAATATTCTTAAGTTTATTTTTAAATTGTGTAGTGGTGCTGCACCCTAGTAGAATAAAGGTATCCCTATCAGATAAAATTTGCCTTAGCTCAGAGTCATATTTTCCCTGTGTTATTTTTACCAAAGAAATGTAGCAGACTACATTTTGACTTAAATGTATGAAGAAAGATTATCTGTGCAAAATTTTATAACACAAACGTGTTTTTGTCACATTTTTTGGTATTTTTTCATTTATAAAGCAAAAACAGTGGTGATTAAATACAATTGGCAGTTAAAGTAGCACAGTGCTGAATATAAAAAAATGTCCTGATAAGAAGGGGTAAAACCCTCTGGAGGTCAAGTGGTTAAGCATACAATTTTTATTTTTTCTTTAAAGTTGCATTCTTTTTTTAATTTGTATTGCATAAAAAAATGTACTTGTGGCACCAATTCCACATAGTTTCAATATATTAAAAACAAACCAGCAATGGTAAAACAATAGCTAAGCCACACATGGAAGAAGCAGTGACTGATCTAAAAGATGTACCCCTGGAACCAATATCAAAAAGTAAAATAATAACAAAGTCCTAACAGGGGCCATACATATTTGAAACTATACATATTTGAAACAACTGCGGAGTTTTCCTGCCTGATACACTCCTCTCCCAATCCCTGAGATTGTCCTGCTCCACATACCCGTTCACTTACTACCGGGTTGCCAGACACACCCAGAGTTAGCACCCTATCACACCAGACTTCCACAATATTACCTACAATGGGACCCCAGAAACGCATGGCCTGGGGGAGTAGGGGAAGAGACCCTGTACCTTCCCTTCCCCCCCACAGGGTTAACACACCCCCCTCCTCTTTTCTATCCCTATTTCGCCCCCCCCTAGCCCTTTCCTGCTCCATTTACTCCTCCCCTTTTTTCTATACAGTGGATGATGGTCCCCCACTATAAGTCCCATGATTGTCCCTCCTCACCTCTTACTTCACCTATGACTATAAGGCTGCCTGGTGGAGAGTGTGATCCCTATCCCAAAAATCTATATCTGACATAACAAATGCCATAGGGCCTAGAGATACCTGTCCTATATGGGGAACTGCCCCCCCCCCACACACACACACACACACACACACATGCACACACACACCCTTCTTCAGCTCTAGCCTCATGGTCTACCAATCCCGAGGCTTCCATCCCGTTACTTCCCCCCGCAATGTTATACCTAATTTTGATTGATGTCTACATCACCTCGAGTGTAACTTTCTCTCAATTAGACTACTATCATCTTGCCCCTAGGTGAGGACATTGTTGTGATCGAATACCAGTTTTATTGTTGTTCTTGCCGATTTAGGCATGTGACTTTCTCTTCAAGCCAGTTACTGATCTATGTATGCTTGTACACAACTTGCTCTCTATTCCTAAATAAACATAAGAGGTTTGTATTGCTCTTCAGATGAACCCAGGTTATCCAACCACAAGTGATGTCAATAATGGCAGTGTCACTTCCAGTTGGTTAACCTATGTAACTTCCAGTTGTCTGGAACGCATGCCGACTCTGTATGTGGCTCTGTGGGGCTGAACTGCTGCAAAGCGGCTTGTGTTGGTGCTTCTTAAAGCACCTTGTAAACGTAAGTGCAAATATTTGTTTTATTCCTCTGTTTTAATAAAAATACTGTGCTATGATCATATTATCTTCTTGGGCTTGTGGCTTTCTTTTCCTATGAGAGAGCACTTTTGCTGAAGTGTGTGATCATGTGGATTCACCATTCCTGTTTGGGTTCATCTGAAGAGTAATTCAAACCTCCTATGATCATTCGAAGAGTGATTGAGGCCTTTAGTGGTCATTTTTAGTTGGCGAGTGAGAATTTTTCTCACACGTGGTGGAGCGCTAAAAAAGAGTCATCCCATCATATCGTATTAACCTAGCGGTATTCCCGAGTGTAGCTCGGGGTAGAGTTTCAGTACCAAAAGCGATAACCCCGAGCTACACTCGGGCTTACCATGCAGCGTTGCACAGGGATTTCCTGCAGCGCTTACCTTGTCCTTCACTCCCGCGATGCGTCCCCTGCAGCGTCCCCGGCCATCTCCTCCGGCCAATGCCGGCATCCGGCTTCTGTGTTCCGGTCCCTGTGACGTCGGGACAGCAAATTTGAAAATTTTAAAAAATGACTTTTTTTTTAAAATGTTTATTACATAGTAAAACATTGCTGTTTCAAAGCATTTCACATACATTTTGTCCCTACTGCTTTGTCCTGTGCCCTGCCTGCATTTTGACTGTTCTTTCTGCCTGGAAACTTAGAAAAGTCCATGGCGTCCAAAAAGCATCCCTGTAGGTCAAAATCGGTTTTAGACCAGCTAGAGAACAGCGATAGTAAATCAGAACCACTTGCAGAATTGAGTGATAATGATTTGTGGGGAAATTCGTCATCAGACACTGAAAACGATTCTGCGACTTTGCTCAGTGATGTGCGAACTTGGCGCTATATTTCAAATTTCAGTGTTTTTGGTTTGATTATAATATTGAATTAAATTTATTATTATTATTATTATGTTATTATTTTTTATGATTATTTATTAAATTATAATTTATGATTTTGTGTTTCAAGTTTTATCATATCCGGAATGTTTACTAGACTCTTGTTCGGACAGATTTCAGTGAGTTATTCAAATCCAAATCATTGGATTCAGGTGTTCCAATAACTTCCGTGGCCATAGGTGTAAAAAATCAAGCACCTAGGCATGCAGACTGCTTCTATAAACATTTGTGAAAGAATGGGTCACTCTCAGGAGCTCAGTGAATTCAAGCATGGTACAGTGATAGGTTGCCATCTGTGCAATAAGTCCATTCATGAAATTTCCTTGCTACAAAATATTCCACAGTCAACTGTTAGTGATATTATAACAATGTGGAAGCAATGGGGAACAACAGCAACTCAGTCACAAAGTGGTAGGCTATGACAGAAAATGACAGAGTGGGGTCAGCGAATGCTGAAGCGCACAGTGCACAGAAGTCTCCAACTGTCTGCAGATTAAATAGCTAAAGACCTCCAAACTTCATGTAGCCTTCAGATTAGCACAACATCAGTGCATAGAGAGCTTCATGGAATGGGTTTCCATGGCTGAGCAGCTGCATCCAAGTCTTACATCACCAAGTGCAATGCAAAGCGTCAGATGCAGTGGTGTAAAGCGCACTACCACTGGACTCTAGAGTAGTGGAGACATGTTCTATGGAGTGACCAATCACATTTCTCTGTCTGGCAATCCAATGGACGTGTCTGGGCTTGGTGGTTGCCAGGAGGACGATACTTGCCTGACTGCATTGTGAAAAGTGTAAAGATTGGTGGAGGGGGGATTATGTTGTGGGGTTGTTTTTCAGGAGTTGGGCTTGGCCCCTTAGTTCCAGTTAAGGGATCTCTTAAGGCAACAGCATACCAAGACATTTTTGACAATTACATGCTCCCAACTTTGTGGGAACAGTTTGGGAATAGCCCCTTCCTGTTCCAAAATAACTGCGCACCAGTGCACAAAGCAAGGTCCATAAAGACATGGATGAGTGAGTTTGGGGTGGAAGAACTTGACTGGCCTGCACAGAGTCCTGACCTCAACCTAGAACACCTTTGGGATGAATTAGAATGCAGACTGCAAGCCATTGTAGAAATGGGGATAGGTATGGGGAATTGTACTAAGATACTCCAAAATTAGAACTATTCACATCTTGGACATCTGGTTGATCTTTTAGTTGAGCACTGTGGAAGTCTTGGCTGACAGAAGATAGCAGACTTCCTTCTAACATATAGCAGCAAGTAGTTTTAGGAGTCTGCAGTCCCTTTAGCAGTAGTAGTAGATACAGGGCTCATCTCCTCAGGCACAAGCTAGTTACGACAGACTGCGATAGCCCAAAGGTAACGTAGCTGGGCAAAGCCCCTTTGCAGTAGCAACACTCAGACAAGCTCTTCCTTTTTCCAGACCCACGCTGACTATCAAACACCAGGGGAGTTCCCAAATTCCTCAATGTCAGTACTCACAAGGCTCACAGACAGAATGTTATTTTATATGAACTATTATTCCTGCGCCAACAGATTCCCACAGGTACTATACTGCTGCTGTGCACTGTGCAAAAACACAAACCACAATAAATATTAAATAAACCAGCGCAAACATAGACCTTTACACACCAATCAATTAAGTGCATCATAATAAAAATTAATAAAATTAATAATTAATATTATTAAAACATCAAAAATGAAAATCCACAAAATAGAAAAAATTATTTTTTTTGTCCATGAAATATACATATATATATCAAGTGAAAAAAATATATCAAGTGAAAAAATATCAAGTGAAAAAATCAAGTGAAAAATATCAAGTGAAAAAACATTAATCAAGTGACTTTCTTCTTTCCCAAAGACTCTTCAAATACACCAAAAGAAACTTCCACCTTCCACCCATGATCCAACATCGAATACACTCACCAGATTTACAGTTGTGACCAAAATTATTCAACCCCCAATGCTGTAAAGGGGTTTAGGGACTATAGTGTACATTTGGAATTGTATTCAGAATCAAATCCTACAAGGACGTTGTAACTACCCAAATGCAACTAAAATGACATCAATTGTTTATGTAATACAGTAGTAAATGGTTCTTATGTGGTTTCTTCATTGCCACAATTATTCAACCCCTTAAAGACTACCACTCTGAAGAACAGAGGTTCATACAGGTGCTTTCCATCAGGTATTGAAAACACCTGTGGATGTCACCGAGCAGCAATCAAGCATAATAAGCACCAATTAGGCAGCTTTAAAATGACTGTGATACTCAGCTCCTTCTAGACATTTACTGGTGTGGTTACAAACATGGTGAAGGCAAGAGAATGGTCCAGGAAGACAAGAGAAGAGGTGATTTCTCTTCACAGGAAGGGCAATGGCTATAAGAAGATTGCAAAGATGTTAAACATACCAAGAGACACCTTAGGAAGCATCATTCGCAAATTCAAGGCAAAGGGCACTGTTGAAACGCTACCTGGTCGTGGCAGAAAGAAGATGCTGACTTCGACTGCTGTGCGCTACCTGAAGCGTAGAGTGGAGAGAAGTCCCCGTGTGACTGCTGAGGAACTGAGAAAAGATTTGTCAGATGTGGGTACAGAAGTTTCAGCCCAGACAATAAGACGCACACTGCGTAATGAAGGCCTCCGTGCCAGAACTCCCAGGCGTACCCCCTTGCTGTCTCCAAAGAATAAGAAGAGTCGACTGCAGTATGCCAAAAGCCATGTGGACAAACCACAAAAGTTGTGGGATAGTGTTCTGTGGACTGATGAAACAAAATTAGAACTGTTTGGGCCCATGGATCAACGCTATGTTTGGAGGAGGAAGAACAAGGCCTATGATGAAAAGAACACCTTGCCTACTGTGAAGCATGGTGGAGGGTCAATCATGCTTTGGGGCTGTTTTGCTTCTGCAGGTACAGGGAAGCTTCAGCGTGTGCAAGGTACCATGAATTCTCTTCAGTACCAGGAGATATTGGATGGAAACGTGATGCAGTCCGTCACACACCTGAGGCTTGGGAGACGTTGGACCTTTCAACAGGACAATGATCCCAAGCATACCTCCAAGTCCACTAGAGCATGGTTGCAGAGGAAAGGCTGGAACATTTTGGAGTGGCCATCGCAGTCACCAGACTTAAATCCGATTGAGAACCTCTGGTGGGACTTAAAGAAAGCAGTTGCAGTGCGCAAGCCTAAGAATGTGACTGAACTGGAGGCCTTTGCCCATGAAGAATGGGCGAAGATACCCGTAGATCGCTGCAAGACACTTGTGTCAAGCTATGCTTCACGTTTAAAAGCTGTTATAACTGTAAAAGGATGCTGTACTAAGTACTAAGATTGAATGTCACTTGGGGTTTGAATAAAACTGATAATGCTGTGAGCACAGAAAAGACATTTGTGGTTATTTCATTATAACTGTTATGTTATATTTGTCTGACCTACAAGTGCCTCTTTAATGTAAATGTAAGCAAGATGACTGAATGATCAAAAGCAATGTCAAACTGGCCAAAACACTCAATTTCAGTGGGGGTTGAATAATTTTGGTCACAACTGTAGGTGAATGGGACACTTTTTAGGACTTTTAGGGATCCTAATACCCTCTTTGCTGTTCACTCTAGGGGGATCTTCAACGATACAAATAGGCTCCACCGTTCAACCAGGGAGAAAAAAAACTTACATAGTGTAATATTGCCACTTAGAATCTTTCTTCAAAATAAAGACTATTACCACTCACATTTTTCTCCTCTTTCAAAAAGCATGTTTATTAAAAACCAAACTCTTCCAGACCGATAATGGACACTGTTAACCTCTTGCCGTCCGCCTGCTGTTTATAAACGGCAGGGCGGTGGCAGTCCAAGGTCGAGTTGCCGTTCCTAAACGGCACCCGCCTTTTCTAGCTGTGCGCGCTCCCTAGGAGCGCGCACCACCGCGATCCGGTGTCCGCTGTGTCCTCCGGACACAGTGAAACACCGATCGTCGGACGGGACCTCTGTACGAGGTCCCGGTCATGTGATCACTGATTGGCGAATCAGTGATCACATGCAAAGTAGTAAGCAAGATGTCACTTGTGACATCATTGCTTACTACGTGTGAAATCTGTGAATGATCACAGAGGTCACATGGTACAAGGCTATTCACAACAGCCTTGTACCATGTGACAAGCTGTGACCAATCACAGCTCACTCAGTATTTCTCAATGACTGCAAGAATGCAGACAGAGAGAAAGAGAAATGATTGCTTTTACATCCTATATGGGTATAAAAGCAATCAGTGTAAAAAAAAAAAAAAAAAATCTTCATCACCCCCCACAAGTAGTACAGTGTCACCATGGTGACACTGTACTGCTAGGGTGACAGTATGTAAAAATAAAAAATAAAAATAAAAAATAAATATAAAAAAAAATAAAATAAAAATGTAAAAAAAAATGTTTAAAAATTATAATGTTTGGTTATAAACTAATTTGGATTTTTTTTTTTTACTAAAAAAATAACGGAATAAATTTTGGCCAAGATTTAGGATGAAATATTATTTATTTGCAAAATTTTATTAAAAAAAAACACTTTTTTTCAAAATTTTTGGACATTTTCATTTACATAGTAAAAAAAAATAAAAATCCCAGCGGTGAATAAATACCACCAAAATAAAGCTTTATCTGTCTCAAAAAAATGGTAAAAAATTCATATGGGTACAGTATTGCATGACCGCGCAATTGTCATTCAAAGTGTGATAGCGCTGAAAGCTGAAAATTGCCCTGGACAGGAAGGGGGTAAAAGTGTCCGGACAGGAAGTGGTTAATGCCTCCTTAAGACTCTCACATCCCAGCTCAGGATACAGCAGCAGCTATGCAGACTAAA